TCGGCTTACGGGCAGGGCTCTCTCTACTTCTTGTATTTGTCTGTGTATATTGTACGTTCTCCACTAATTGTACAGCACTGTGGAATCTGTTGGTGCTTTATAAATACCAGTAATAAATAAGTAATAAATAAATAACATCATAAAAGTTATTTTGTGAACTGGGAAGGATGAAAAAGCTGAATTTGAGAATATTTTTCAATTTGACTATTTTGGATTACAATTCCCTTTGCCAGTTTTCCATAATCTCTGTTATTGAATAAACCCACAGCAACTTTTCAGATCACTCATATTTCCAGCATTAAACCTTCAAATCACGTCTATATGTCATAATTTGTATATTAAATTGTATTATATTTGGACACTACCACAATATCAGAGCATGGCCAAGCTGGCACCGATAATGTTTGTAAATTTAACGTTGTGGGATATCTGTTGGTCTCTCACTAGTTTACTAATTTTGTGGATATAAAGTTATTCGTACACCAGAAATAGGAAAGAAATCAGAAGAATCTATCCCAAAATATTTCACCTACATTATATCCTTCTTGATTTTCCATCCAATCTGTATTGGCTTTATTTTTAATTTATTCACTTAGTTACTATTGTTAAATTTTTTAAATTTTTTTTATCGTTTACTTCCTCCTATCTGGCTTCTGGTTTTTTATCACAAATCCTTTATTTTGGAAGTATTAGTTTACCTGAGTAATAAACAAAGAGGAACCTGCCTAGAAATGGTTTTACTTCTGCAGTATTCTCAGTATCTGTTCTTATTTCACCCCGTGTGTGTCAAACGCAAAATAATATTATGGAGGCAGTTCGTGAAAATTTCTAAGGGTTGATTTACTAAACAGTAGATTGTGACTTGACAACCTGATTGCAAAATACACGCCTAAATAGCTAAAATAAAGATTTTGTTTAAATTTTGGCAATTCTATCTTAAATTTTACAAATTAATTTGTCATTTGTTGATGGTTCATTCTTTACATAACCAGCACTCTAATTCTTTAAATTAAACCTATTCTTTAATATTAATTATGACAGAGTCCCTTTGATAGAGATACTAATTTTATCTATACAATGTGCAAAGCATTATGCAAATGTATGGATTAAAAGTTATTTAGCTTAATAATACTTAGCTCTGCCAAGTTAGTGTACTCTAAAAACTACAACAATGGCCTCGTTGGGTGAATGCACATGCATTTTCTTGTGTCCATTACTGTGGTCTTTTTATAGAAGGCAGACATGATCTTCAGTTAAAAACTGGGTAGATTTATCAAATGAAAACTGGTGGTATTCTTCGTCACAGTACAAAATAAAGACCAATTACTGTTACCAATCATCAATAGAATGGGGGATATTTATCAGTGTTCTGAAAAGTGACTGAGACATTCGGTTATTATTTTGATCATATTTAAGAAAGTAATCTAAAAAGTTACAGTTTTCATCATAGTTAATTCCGCCAGTTTTTGTGGAAATTTCCATGGCGGAAGACTGCCAAATCTATAGTGGTGAAAAAATTCAGGCACTTTTTTTGTTGGAAAAAGTGGTGGAAACATTTATAAATCTGTTGCATTGGTGAAAAAAAAATGTGCATGTTCAGAAATTAAGGGTAGACAGCAAAACTAAAAGTCAACAGATGAAAAAATCCAATAGAACATTAGATGAAAAATAATTGGCGACAATGTGCTTAAGATCACTCATTGTCTCTCCGTATGTGGCAGTTTGAAACCAAAATTGCAGCGTTTTCCACAAGTCAGGATTCATAGCAAACAGCGCATTCACTGAATACGATGACGTCAGATATGGTTAAGCCCACTGACTTTTTACATAAAACTCTGGTTTAATTTCACAAACTCCTTAGAACCTAGCCATATTACCATTATATTAATTTATGGCAAAAGATAGGTGTCTCTAACTTAAATGGAGACTATAGGCACCCAGACCCATTCTGGGTGCCCTGTTACTGTCCCACTTAGTCGTGCAATGTAAAATAATGCAGTTTCAGAGTCTACAGATGCTTCTGAGATTTTACCGGACTCTAGGTCGCCTAACTGACGCTGGACTTCCTTGCACTCTGCATGAGGACATCCAGCGTCTGTAAAATCCCCATAGTAAAGCATTGATTTAATGCTTTCCTATCGAGAAGGCCTAAAACGCTCACAATGCTCGCCACGCATGCGCATTAGGTCCCCCCATGGAATGATGTCACAGGAGGCAGAGCACCTACCCAGCCCCAAGAAAAATCACCGCTCTAATCGGGTAAGTGAATAAAGGGTTTTTTTTGGGGAGGGGGGGAGGAGCACGGGGGAGTTGGGGGTGGACCAGAGGGCACTACTATAGTGTTAGGAATACATGTTTGTATTCCTTAGCATATGGAAGCTTGTCTAGTAATAACTTCAGTGTTGCATGCAAACTTGCAATGAATGAATAACAGTATGATATAAATTCTCAACTCACTGCATGGAACATTATCACTACAGGAAGTAAATTAAACTGTTTAAACTGGCAAATAATCACATTGCCATGTGCTCTAAAATCTTTTAGCAGAGATAGTGTTTCACTTCAGTGGATTAAAGATTTTAAGAAGAATCCTTTCTTGTAGTAAATCAATCTACATTAAATATTCCTGAAAATCTAGCTCCAAGTGTATTTAATATTAATCTATGATAAAACATGCATAAGTACCTTGTTATTAATTATTACAAAAGTTAATGTGATTTATCATGTTAGTGTATTTTATTAAGGAGGTACTGTCACTTACCAGGATTTTTTAATATTGTGTTTATTTATCCCTATATTGACAGATAAATAATTTAGAAGGGAGAAAATGTTTCAATGTATAAATTCACATAGCTCTATTTTGCTCTCCATCATTGCTCCCTATCAACAATTATTATAAGTTCTCTCTTGTGTGTCAGCATAAAGACCTCTCCACAAGTTACCTCAACTATCTTCATGGAGGCAGCGATAATCAATGGCCAAGAGAGCTCACAGCATACCTCCCAAGTGTCCCTATGTAGGAGGGTCAGTCCCTATGTTAGGCCCAAATCTCTTTGTCCCTCTTTTCTATCCTGACGTTCCTAACCTAAAATTTACTCACACCTGTAAAATTAAAATGCCCCTCTTTATCCATTTGAAATGTTGACAGGTATCATAGCAAGCAGACAATGAAAAAACAGAAACAATGGGAGTTCTATATAAAGATCAATTATTTGTAAGATCTAAAAGTGGAGCGTTCGGCAGTAACATTCCATTGGTTTCCATGGTGATAGCATCATTTCTTTAGAGAATTGCCCCAGAACTGCTATTTATACATAACTTACGTTTCTGTTTTTTTTCTTCTTTCATTGCTATAAGTACTGTACCTTAGCCACGACCGCACATTCATAAATCTTTAATATAGAGTTAAAAGAACACAAAGCATCAAATGAAGAAAAATAAAGTCAAAGCAAGTTTATAGGTGATTTTTAATGTTTTGTTTAATGGTTTACTGTCCAGAGAAGTGACGGTTCCTCTTTAAAATTTAAGGTACTTTTGTATTTGCAATTTACCGATGCAGAGGCTTATTTTGTTTCATTAAGTCACGTAAATACTGAATTTTAACTATTTAATTTGGTTTGATGCGGAGATGACCAGCAGTGGGAACTGACAGATGCAACACTTTGGATTCACTATTCTTAATTTCTCAAAGAAATTCCAAGTCGCATGAGTTGGATTTTCACTAACAACGAAGATTTGGGATTTGAACTGAACTATATATCTATATATAAAAAACACATTGACTGGTAAATGTAAGAAATCAGGATTCAGAAGCGAGTCAATCACATTACATCTAGCGACATTTTAATTATTCTGGGCAACCATTATTTTATTGGCATGGGAACTTTCCATAACTCTGATTAAATAGAACAATCGATCGCAATATGTAACCATTTTTGATATTTCCTTTCTCTCCTGGTCACGTGTGATGTTTCCCAAGGCTCTATAATTGGCCCCCTACTATTCACATTACTTATACATGATCTGCCTAATGTCTGCAAAGCCTCAACTGTACACAAATATGCAGACATGTAATATACTCTAGTAAACCAAATCTACCGCAGCTTGAGGCGGTGCTCCAAGACCAGTTCGCAGAGGTAGAAAAGTGGACCGCGGATTACAAACTTTTCCTAAACACTGACAAAACTATCCCAATGATCTTTAGAACTGTACCTAAATTACATAAACTACAAAATTCCCAACTATATATCAGAACAAATTCAAATAGCAAACTGGCCGCAGTCTGTTCTTTCAAATATCTAGGTATGTTGCTAGACCCCAATCTATCCTTTGGCCATCACATTGAAAAAATCTCTTCAAAACTAGGTGCCGTGTACAGAAACAAATACTGCCTAAGCCCCACAGTAAGGAAACCGATAGTGCAACAAATGCTAATGCCGGCCATTGATTATGGAGATGTAGTGTATGCACCCGCACCGCAAACCCACCTTATTAAACTTAATACATTGTATAATTCATTCTGACACTTTGGAAACTATAACGTGATTACTTTACCCACCATTGTGACATTTTAAAAGAGCTAAACTGTCTGTCGCTGTAATTCCGACACACTCCTCATCTTTCCAGCCTTGTGCATAAGGGCTTTTCTGTAAATCTCCAACTCTACCTGATTAGAATGCTCTCAACATCTGTTCCTATCCCCTATAACCTTCTATCTAGTACCATCACCTTATTTAGCATAACAATATACAAAAATATACCATAACATTGATTATATCATTGCAATGGCACCTGTCAAGGGGTAGAGTACATTCTTGATTTTTTTGTGTGTTGAAAGCAGAAAAACTGGGCAAATAAAAAGATCTGAGTGACTTTGACAAGGACCAAATAGGCCCTGGGTCAGAGCATCTCCAAAACCGCAAGTCTTATGGGTTGTTTGCAGTGGTTATTAATACCTATCAAAAGTGGTACAAGGAAGGACAACTGGTTAACCAGCATCGGGGTCATGGGTGCCCAAGACTCACGGATGCACGTGGGGAGCGAAAGCTAGCCCATCTGGTCCGATCACACAGAAGAGCTACCGTAGCTCAGATTACTGAAAAATTGAATGTTGGTTATGATAGAAAGGTGTCAGAGTACATTGCAGTTTGCTTTGTATGAGGCGGCATAGCTGCAAACCAGTCATAGTACTTATGATAACGCCTGTCACCACCAAAAGGACTTCAATGGGGATGTGAGTGTCAGAACTTGACTATGGAACAATGGAAGAAGATTGCCTGGTCTGATGAATCACATTTTCTTTTCAATCAGGTAGATAGATTGGTTCGTCATTTACCTAGGGAAGAGGTGGCAGCAAGATCCACGATGGGAAAAAGGCAGGCCAGCAGAGGCGGTATTATGCTCTGGGCAATATATTAAGAGAGTTTCCTGGTGCAAGAGTTTTTTGCCCCCCCCTATCGCAAGGGTGACTGAGTATTTTTGTGTGAATGTAGGGGTGTGTATGTATGTGGTGTTGGCTTTTGGATGCAAGCATGCATCTATGTGTAGTGTTGGTTTGTGAATGCAGTGTGTTTATGTATAATTTTGGTGTGTAACACAGACTTGTGTTTGTATGTATTTTTGGTGTTTCAGTGCAGGAGTGTGTTTGTATGCAGTGTTAAAGTTTGAATACATGGGTATATTTTTCTGTAATATAGCATTTGAATGCTGAGATGTATGCACATACATACACTGCCACACACACACTGAAACACATGCAGATACACAGATATTCATACTGACAGACACACAGATATACCGACACATATACACACACTGTCACGCATACAGATACAGACACACAGATACAGGCACACAGATTCACAACCTGACACACATGCAGATACAGACATACAGATACAAACATGTCACACATGCAGATACACGTACACACAGATACACACACTGACATACATGCAGATACACAGATACACAAACTGACTACATACAGATACACAGATGCACACATTGACAACATACAGGTATACACACACAATGACACACAGATACACAACCTGACACACGTACACAGACACACAGATACACATACTGACACACACGCAGATACACAGATACACCACAAACGCAGACACACAAACACACAGATTCACACACTGACACACATGCAGATACACACACTGACTACCTTCAGATACACAGATACACACATTGACTACATGCAGATTCACAGATACAAACACTGACTACATGCAGATACCCATACCAACATATTGACACACTGACAGACACAATGACAGACATACTGACACACTGACAGATGTACTGACATACACTCAGACACATACACTGACAGACATACTGACACACACAAAGACACGCATGCAAAATTTACACTAGTATAGCCACCCTCTAGTTTCCTTCTTTGTAGATACAGGAGCATGACTTCCCTTGAGTCCAGTGTGCTGGCTGAGGTAATTGAAAGTTAGGGTCTGGTTCTCCGGACAATTTATTTTTTTTCCAATATTATTTTCATGGTAAAGGTTACGATGCTGACAAGAAATTAGTTAAATTCAGAAAAAGACCCCTTTGAAATTAATGTGTTTCGTGCAAAACATAGGACTTAAAGTTTCTTCAGTGAGCTCTCACCAAAAAAGTCTGGCTGAGCCAATCCTGATGCTCACTTCTTCAGCATTCCATGGAGCACCAAGCATATTCCCTAAATCCATGCAGTTTAGGGATCTAGGCAGGGGCGTACCTAGAGCATTTGGTACCTGGGGCAGTTCCTGTGTTTGGCACCCACCACCACCAAAAAACATGTAGTGCCTCCTTCTACAAAACCACTCTCTTGCCCGCCTTTCTACAAAACGGATGTCCTGCCCCCGTTCTCCAAAACCTCTGCAATCCCCTTCCACAAATCCCCTGCTCAGTCCCCTTTAAACAAAATCCCTGTCCCCCTTCTACAAACCCCTGCACCCCCTTCCATAAAACTCCTGCATTCCCCTTCCCAAAAAACCTGCCTCTCCCTCTAAAGCCCCTGCTCAGCCGCTTACAATAGAATTAATTTTTTTACACAACAATATTAGCAACAGTCTTCAGAGTCCAGTCCCAGACACAGAGTCACTTGTACACAGTTACACACACAGTTACAGGCAGACAGTCACATATACAATTACAGGCAGAGAGTCACATGCACACAGTCACAGGCAGATAGACACACACACACACACACAGTTACAAGCAGCATCCCCCAATCACAGGCACCCAGAAAGTCACAGACAGATAATCACACACACACAGTCACAGGCAGACAGTCACACACACACACACAGGCAGTCACACATACACACACTCACAGGAAGACAGTCACACACAGTTATAGGCAAACAGTCACACAAACACACACACAGTCACAGGCAGACAGTCACACAAACACAAACTCACAGGCAGACAGTCACACACAGAGTCACAGGCAGTCACACACACATACACACAGGCAGACAGTCATACACACAAACTCACAGGCAGACAGTCACACACACACACACACACACACACACACAGTCTCTCTCTCTTACTTACAGACTGTATGGGCTGGAGGAGGAGTGGATTAACTGAAGTCCCCGGAGTCTGTTAGTTGGGGAAGCAGGGACTCCATCCTACTTCCCATCAATGTGCAGCATTAACAGCAGCTGTTAGTTTGGCTACGCCCATGCTACCGATTAGCTCCACCCCTGTTTTTCCTAGAGTGGCCTGTCTGTTTTCAAGTTCTGTGGCTGCCTGCGTGTGTGAGCTGTGCGGCCTCACAACTCACACATCCTAAGGCTGACCTGGTCATGGCACCCCCCTATTGAGTGGGACCTGGGGCAGACCACCCTACCCGCCCCCTCCTTAGTACATCACTGGATTTAGGCAAAAAAGGCATTTATTTGATCTGCCATCTATCTGTTGTAGCCCATAATGCCCTGCTATACAACCTCTCAGGAAAATACAACGTTATATAATTGCAATCGATACAAACATATTATTAATAGAGTAAACAAGGAACCCTGTAGGTTGGGATGTAAATGAAGAATAATAATTTATAATAAATCTATCTATTTTCAAAAAGAAATAAAAAATAAAATAAAAAACACGTCTAAACAGAAAATAATATTTTAGCATTAGTAAATGTCGCCTAATTTACACATTATCCACAGAATATGTGCAGCTGGGCATGTTACTTGTAACATTACAGCAAGTAATCACCCTTTTATAATAGTCTATGTCAAACATATCCATCCATGCTGAAAATGTTGTTTCTGCTGAATTACTTTTTCCGAAGATAGAAAGATTTTTGCTACATACAAATTTTTGCCAATTTCAGTTTGGTGCAGCCGAATGCCAGTTTGGAAACCGAATTAGAAGAACAAAGTTAAAAAGTGCAAAAATAAGCCAATTGGTGAGCTGCAAAATAAATACATAATATAATATTATGCATTTATCTTACAGTACACTAATAGAAAAATGTAATACTATTTGGTTAACGGATAAAATGAGAAAACGTAAAGCAATAGGGGAAAAATTGGAGAGGCAGTAAAAACAAATCTATATATTATCTATTTATTAAATATATAAATATAGATTTTATATACTGCAACTCCTTTTTTCCTCTATTGTTCACTTCTCACTTGATTTGTGAATAAAACTAACATTTAAAGTATGTCCCCTAGCCATCAATAAAATTTTTTCCTATCAATCATTTCTTTTTTCGGCACGACGGGCGAAATTCAGAAAATTGACCTTCTTCCCCCGAACATTTTTATCATTGTGTAGTTCAGTTAATTCAGGTATATTTCAGCTCAGAATTTGTCTGGTCCCCTCATTGACCCAAATTCGGCCGAATTGCAGTTCGGTCGAAAACTAATTTCTGAGTCTAATGTGAAATAGAAACATGATTGTTAAATATATGTTTTCAAATAAAGCATGCCTCATTCATTCTTCCAATCTACACAACGAAACAACAAAAATTCTTATCCTGCTTCTTTGTTAATGTAACATACTGCCACCTAGTGGAGAGATTAGGCAAAACATAGTCAAAATTCCACTGTGAATAGTAAGCATCTATGCATCATTATACACCCATATTAGACTGCTCTGCCTTTTAATGCCCAGGCCGAATTTTTGTGCTAGTCCAGCCATGCCAGTACCTTTTATTCAAAAATAAAATACAAATAAATAAAATAAAAAATAAAAAATCTCCACAATGAAAATGTAAAAGTGTCAACCTGTCAGATGTTCAAAATGATAATTACTCTTGCTTACTATAGCTAAATTTAAAAATATATTGTTAGAATATTGTTTTCAACTGATTTTTAAAAAAAATAATATTTTAGTGACTGCATCAATTAGACAGACAGGCAGAGAGACAGATATATAGATTATGGTGTAGTTCTTAATTTGTATAAAACCTTAATGAAGGATATGTAATAATAACTGTTAATTTTCTTTTTTAAGATTCTCATTATATACATGTCTTATTAGTTACCAACAAATAAATAAATAAAAATAAACCCTGAAGCAAAGTATATTTTATTTATACACCACAACAGAAAGCTATATAGGCATTTAACTGTCTTCATCTCGTTGATTGATGCGTCCCATCTTCATGACCCATCTGTATACAAGCAAACTAAATAAAAGTTCAGGTAATAAAAATCAGTGGTAATTTGTTAAGTTCACTTCTCTAAGATTCATTAAACTTATCATTAGCCAACCTAGGAGAAATAAAAATGAAATTGAATTATCCAAGAATTATATTCAAGAATTATACATGAATTAGGCTGATTATCGCAACAATCAATTTGTAACTAAATTTGTAACTAAATTTTGACCAGTTCCAGAATTATTTCTTAAGTAGGCCACATGGCTATATGTCTGAGAGTTGTGACGTATTTGTACGAAGTCCCCCATCCTCTATTTATAGTATAAAGCCCCCTATTTATAGATTAGGCAGAGTTATATACATGAGTCAAACATTGGGTACCACCTGCAATAAAGGAGAAACATGCCTGGTTGCACGTCCGCTGGGTTTATATTGTTGTTCTGAACCCACATGGAATAAATGAGTAGGTAGAGCTATTTTACATGGTTCCTCAATATCAGGTATTTTTAAAGAGACCCAATATTCCTAAAATTAATATACAAAGTTTGGAAAATCCTCCAAATTAAGATAGAGGCAATTACTGTACTAAATTGAAATCCG